CTTCAGGATTCTCTGAGGAATGAGTTGGGATCTCCTGCTGAGCTGGGGAATGTTCTGCCTCTTCAGGATTTTCTGAGGAATGAGCTGGAGTCTCCTGCTGAGTCAGAGAATGTTCAAATTCCCCACTAGGCTCAGAAAGCGGAGCTGGTTGTTCCTGTACGCTTGGAGGCTTAGCTTCCTCGGGAGGCTCTGAAGGCTGAGCTGGGGTCTCCTGCTGAGTTAGAAAAGGTTCAGTCCCCCCAGGAGACTCAGAAGGCTGAGCTGGTTGCTCCTGCTCACCTGAAGGCTCACCCTCCTCTGGAGGCTTAGCTGAGGTCTCTTGCTGGATTGGAGGAGGTTCTGCTTCCTCAGTATGCTCAAGAGGCTGAGGTGGGACCTCCTGCTGGGCTGTAGAAGAATCAACCTCCTTAGCCGGCTCTGGAGTTATGGTAAGTTCCAGATCCACAGGTTTATATGTGACACTGGCAAACTTGAAATAGCTTGGATGGTGGCTTATAGGTTGACTTAGCATCTCATCATTTTCAGGAGTTTGAGGTAGATACTCCATAGGAAACTCTGGAACTAGAGTTGGGGCCTCTGGCTGCACTGGAATGGGCCCAGCCTCCTCCAGGTGCTCTACAGACTGAACTGGGATCTCCGGCTGGACTGGGGTGGGCCCAGTCTCCTCAGGGCGCTCTGCTGGCTGAGCTGAGGCCTCTGACTGGACTGGGGTGGACCCAGCCTCCTCGGGGACCTCTACAGGCTGAGCCGGGGTCTCTGGCTGGACTGGGGTGGACCCAGCCTCCTCGGGGTGCTCCGTGGGCTGAACTGGGGTCTCCAGCTGGGCTGGGGTGGGCCCAGACTCCTCAGGGAGCTCTGCTGGCTGAGCTAAGTCCTCTGACTGCATTGGGGTGGGCCCATCCTCCTCGGGGAGCTCTACAGTATGAGCCAGGGTCTCTGGCTGGACTGGAGTGGGCCCAGCCTCCTCGGGGAGCTCTATAGGCTGAGCAGGGTTCTGAGGCTGGACTGGGGTGGGCCCAGCCTCCTCGGGGAGCTCTACAGGCTGAGCCAGAGCTTCTGGCTGGACTGGGGTGGGCCCAGCCTCCTCGGGGCGCTCTACAGGCTGAGCCAGAGCTTCTGGCTGGACTGGGGTGGGCACAGCCTCCTCGGGGAGCTCTACAGGCTGAGCCAGGGCTTCTGGCTGGACTGCGGTGGGCACAGCCTCCTCGGGGAGCTCTACAGGCTGAGCCAGGGCTTCTGGCTGGACTGCGGTGGGCCCAGCCTCCTCTGGGCGCTCTGCAGGCTGAACCGGGGCCTCCTGCTGGACTGGGGTGGGCACAGCCTCCTCGGGAAGCTCTACAGGCTGAGCAGGGATCTCTGGCTGGACTGGGGTGGGCTCAGCCTCTTCAGGGCGCTCTGCTGGCTGAGCAGGAGCCTCTGGTTGGATTGGAGATGGCTCAGCCTCCTCCGTGTGTTTTGGAGGCTGAGTTACAGTTAGGGTAAGTGCCAGATCCACAGGCTTAACAGTCACGTTGTGGAGCTTTGGCTGCTGGGCTTCATTCTGACTGAGAGACGGCACATCTACCTCATGTGCTATCGGTTGAGGTACCACCTCCTTAGATATCTCTAGAGGTTGACCTGGGGCCTCCTGAGGGGTTGAAGGTTCTACTTCCTCAGGGGCCTCTGTAGGTTGAGCTGAGGCTTCCTGATGGACTGAAGAAGGTTCGACCTCTTCAGTTGTGCTTGAAGGCTCAGCTGGGGCCTCCTGTGGGTTTACGGAACTTCCACCTTCCTTAAGGATCTCCGGAGGCGAAGATGGAGGCTGCCGCTGAATTGGAGAGGTTTCCGTCTTTTCAGGGGGCTCTGGATGCTGGGCCTGGGCCTCCACCTGAGGCATAATAGATTCAGCTTCCTCAGGGTACTGTAGATCATTTGGGGTTTCCTGCAGGAGTGGGGGAATTTCAGCCTCCTCAGGGAGATTTGGAGGTTGTTCTGGTTGCCCCGGGAAATCCACTGGTAGGTTCTCCCCAGGATATAGGATATCCATACTGGAATCTGAATCATCATCCTGCAGCTGGTCTAGGATCTCTTTATTTGCAAGTTGGTTCGGAGTTCCAACAATGACTTTGGCAAGCCTTCGATGCTGAACAAGATCTTCCTCCAGGTTTGGGGGTGAAACAATAAACTGTGTTGGCTTTGAACTCTGAACATCCAGAGGTGGGACAAGTATTTCAAATGATTGCTGATCTTCAGCCCGATCCAAACCTACAACTTTAATCTTACTTTTGAGTCCAAGAGGCAGAGCTATGGTCTGATTCTGATCCCAACCTAGCCTTGGAGCCGCTTCCGGGAGCCTTTCATGCTGGGTTAGCTTGTCGTTCAGATCCCGATCTGCCTCTGGGGGCAGCTCGCCAACTGAATCCGTGTCCGGGAACGGAACCAAAGTCTCAGTCAATTCCTTAGGCGGGGCCAACATCTGGACTGGAGCAGAGGACCCCAAGTATTTAAAACCCCCCGGCTCCGCTGGGGGTGTAAGAGCCTGGGGCGATTCGGGCGGGAGTGCAGAGGAGTGCGAAGACCAGGGCTCGGTGGGCCCTAGGAAGTCGGAGGTCAGCTGGGCAGGGTCCAGGGCCCACTCCGGAGGCTGAGCTGCCTGGACCAGCAGCCACAGTGGTTGCCACGTGAGGAGGAGCAGTGGGGCCCAGAGGCGCAGCCGGGACATGACATGCGGAGGCTCTGGGGCGCAGCGACCCAGGCCAGTGGGGCGCAGGCGCCGCGCCGGAGCGGAGCCGAACCGTTATGGCAGCCCCGTGATGCGCACACAGTTAGCAACTGCGCGCCCCTCCCCCGCCTACGTCCCACCCTTTGTTTACGACACCTTTATTTACGCCACCTTTATTAGCTGGGCGCAGGTGGGCGCAGGTGGGTACCGCGCACGTCGGAGCGAGCCCCTTTTCCAGAATCACCGGGGCCCAAGCCTCCCTTCCCTCTACAAAGGGCACAGCTACCTCCTGATGCTCACAGCGAGGCAGGAGGGCCACGGACTCCAGCAGCTCTGGGCGGCAGGCGGGGGAGACAGGGGAGTGGGGGGAGGGGGGTACCGTTTCCCAAGGAAGCCACAGGACCTGGCATCCCGGGAAATTAAAAATGCTAGTCCAGTTCTGGCGGTTTGAACTCATCCTCTTCAAAGCTTAAGTCCGAGAGACATTCTTCCTCCCCTTGGCCATCCTGCTTCCAAGAAAAGTAGCTGATCTGCAGAATAAATACGAGTTAGGGCAGTAGGGAAGGGATTACATTTTACAGGTTGTTATTCTAAAATGTTGCCATTTTCTCTAAATTCTCAATACGCATGTCTGAGTATTAAGTCGCCACTCTGTTAGAAGGAGGCTACCTACCATTCAATCAGTGATGGCTCCAAAATTTCTGTAGGAGGGGTTTTAAGGCAGGGGTGGGACGAGGCCGGGGGCGGGGCGGGGAGGGGGGGCAGGTGAGGATTTTATTCTGGGAATGAGGGTCTGAAACCAAGAGAATAGACCTCTATTCACACTGGCATGGGAAAACTTCCCTCATCCCACTTGACTCAACATAGCCGTCAGTGTAGAAAAAGTAACACCACCACTTCTCAGAGGTCTGACCCTGTGTGTGCACATGTTCAAGTTAGCAGGTCAAACAATTTTCTTGAAATAGTGTAACACCCAGTTTACATCCTTCACAGTCCTTTTTATAATCTGTTTTATTTGAGTCCCTGTTTATGGTCAGGCACAAGCCTAGCACGCAAACTATAATAGAGAAGGGTTTATCTTATTCCCAGCATCTAGCACATAATAATGGTTTTTAAGTGGAACTGATTCCAAGACTGGCCTTATTTAGTAATGGATCTATTGTTACAATCAGGTTTCTGAAATTTTCAGTATCAATACAGAATCTCTCACATTTCACAAGAAGCTAGACTTCTTAAAGGGTAAACTTGGATAAGTCTGAAGTTTCCTTGATGAGCTTGATTTAAACTGAATTAAAATAATTATTTTGCACACACAAAAAAAACCTTCAAATACTTTTTCAGAAAATAACCATCTTTTCTTTCTCCACTCTCTTCCCTTCAAAACAAACAAACTTTGCAACTTTGGAATGAGTTAAATAATCAGAAATCTAGCCCCCAATTAAGTTTTCAATGACATGAAACCCATCCTTCGCTCCTTTTTTTTTTTTCTTTTTGACATTCTATATGCAGTACATTAATAGCTTCTTTTAGAAATTACCTTGGCAACTTAATCCCTAATTCAGGGCATGATATAAGTGATTGACAGAAAAGTTCTTCAGCAAAATATTTCATACAAGATACGTGTAAGATGCTGACATTTGGGTAATATACCTTATTTGAAAGGCATAATGATTTTCAAACACTGTAGCATAATCTCACTTAATGCCAGAGTTACCCTGTTCTCAAATTCCTGGGATTCTGTTTGAGGGGAGCTCTAAAAGGCTGTGTCCTCTCCTATGTCTACAAGGGTAGGAGTACTCTGATGCAATTGGCTCGCCAAATTTCAAAGAAGGGGTCAGAGCCAAGAGTGAGGACTTCAAGGAAAGCCTCAGAAATTCCCATGCACTCAAAAGCAGTTCCAGAGTTTTATATTTCCCAAAGGATGATAAAGCTAAGTGTACTTGTCGAAGTCTTCCAAATCCTGCCTGTTGCTTTAAATTTTGGCTACCCTGGCTATGGAATCCCCGAGCTGTAATCTCCACATACTTGAATTAAATCCTGTAGCTCCTCTTCGGTTCTGGCATCTGTAATCTCTTCACAGGCTCTATATTCCACAGCTATTTTACCACTTTCTGAAATAAAGTTAACAAGGATCAGATCAAAATTTTTCTTGTTCTAAAACTTGTATATGATAGCATCCAAAAATTAGATAGTCTTTTGATTTTTTAAAAGTATTTTATTTTATTTTTATTTATTATATTTATTTATTTATTATATTTATATTTATCTTAGAGAGAGTGCACAAGCAGGGGGAAGAGCAGAGGGTGAGGGAGAAGCAGGCAACATGCTGAGCAGGGAGCCCGATGTGGGGCTCAATCCCAGGACCCGGAGATCGAGGCAGACCTTAATGGGCTGAGCCACTCAGGTGCCCCGTAGACATTCTTTTGATTTCTAAAAGCTAAAAGCATTTTCCTAGAAGTTTTTTCACCTCACACTTCAGTTTTTAAAATAACTTTTTTTTTCAGATTTTATTTATTTATTTGAGAGACGGGGGCGGGGGGGAGGGAGAAGCAGACTCCCCACTGAGCAAGGGAGTCTGACATGGGGCTCAATCCCAAGACTTTGGGATCATGACCCAAGCTGAAGGCAGATGCTTAACCTACTAAACCACGCAGGCACCCCATCATAACCATTTGCGGAAAAAAAAAAAAAAAATTAAGTTATCAACTGTGTGGTTAAAAAAACTTCATGATCTCAGAGATAGGAACTAAGGAATAATGACACAGGGAGTTAAAACTGTAGGAACAAAAACATTCAATCATAATATGATTAAGCAATAAGACTTTATTTAGGTGGGGGTCAAGGTGAGTTCAAACCCAGAACAGAGACCACCAGACTATGGCGGATACTTCAATTAGAAACAAGTGTCTACTCCCTGGGAACCAAAATCCCACCAGATACAATGAACAATGCTTTGGAGAAGGAGGCAGGGCATGCATTGGAACACTTTATTGGCAGAAACAGGCCCACGTACCTTATAGACAATACAATTTCCCTTAAGGCAAACTACAGCTACAAGACTTTTTAGTCTAAGGAATTTTGAATGTGTAGAAGGGATACCAAGCATATTAGGGAGAGGTCAACAACCCAAACACTCAGTTTGGTTCTTAAAAGGTTGTCACTCAGAATTGATAGCTAATAACGATTCTACCTGATGACCATGGAAGTCAACCTTCCCTGGAAAACTTACCCAGGCTGGAAACCTAAAACCAATCCAGGGTCAACTCTTAGAATCAAATAAGGCCTCTGAAACTTAGCTAGGATTTCTTAGTCTTTAAGACTCAAGGCTCTGAAGCAGGGGAGCAACTGTTGGGAACTCTCCACTAATTATAAAATTTCCAGAAAAAAAGGCACCTGGGTAGCTCAGTTGGTTGAGTGTCCCGCTTTTGATTTCAGCTCAGGTCATGATCTCAGGGTTGTGAGATCAAGCCCTGCACCAGGCTCCATACTAGGCATGGAGCCTCCTTAAGATTCTCTCTCTCTCCCTCTCCCTCTGTTCCTCCTCTGCCTCCCTCTTTTATTTTGTTTAAAATAAATTAAGTCAAATAAAATAAATTTCCTTTGAGCACAGCCTGGGTTGATTCTCTCCCTCTCTCCTTCTACTCCTCCCCTGCCTCCTCTGCCGCCCTCTTTTATTTTATTTAAAATAAAATAAAATATAACAATATTTAAAAAATAAAATTTCCTTTGAGCATAGCCTGTAGCATTCACACTATTGTAGAACTCAGTAGGGAATACAATCAACACTGTTCAATAGGATGGCCACTTACAAGGTTCACAAAAATGTAGCTGATCATTGTGTAAGAATCATATTTACCCAATGTCAGTGCCAGAAAGAAAAAGTGAAACTGAATCGATTCCAAAATTGATTCTAATAAATTCTCCAACAGGAAAACAATAATGGTAAGAAGTTGGGAGGCCTGGGTGGCTCAATCAGTTAAGCCGCTGTCTTCAGCTCGGGTCGTGATCCCAGGGTCCTGGGATCGTGTCCTGCATCCGGCTCCTTGCTCGGGAGCCTGCTTCTCTCTCCGCCTCTGCCTGCCACTCTGCCTGCTTGTGTGTGCTCTCTCTCTCTCTCTGACAAATAAATAAATAAAATATTTAAAAAATAATAATAATAAGAAGAAGTTAACATATTTTGTCTGCTTACTACATTACTGGGATAGTCCTAAGCTTTTTATATTCATCATCTCATTTACTCTAACAATGTCCCTCATGAGGTAAGCTGAATTACTAACTTTAGTTTGCAGATAAAGAAATTGCAGCTTAGAGAGACTAAATACGTTTAAATTTGACTATAAAACCTAAAACTGCATCAGAAATCTTTAGAGACAGTTAGGACTCAACAACAGATGTCCAAAGCTTATAATCACTATACTACTTTGTGTTATGGGCAAATAGTCAAAAAAGAAGACTGGGTCAAACATTTTCTGTGTGCAGGCAAGTCGCTGTGTATCTATACACTATAGACAATATTTCTCTGTCTTGATGTCATTTTTCTCACAGATGCTAAAAAGAACAAATTTGGGACTGCTGCTTTGAAAGCATTTGGTGAATAAAAGAATACAAAGTGTTTTCATCCCAACTAGCTTTTCAAAATGAGTTTATTTGCTCATGGAAACTGAAGTACCTTGAGGACAATCGAGAAAGTCTTACCTAAAACCACAATCACCAGTTTCTGGAATGCATCTGACACAGCCTTCTGAATAGCAAGCTTCTGGGTGGTTTTCCTTTTCATCAGAAATGATAATGGCCCTAAACCCAACCAAAACAAATGGATTTAATATATATGGCTGAATAACTGATTTTTTTTAAAGATTATTTATTTATTTATTTATTTGTCAAAGAGAGAGAGCACAAGCAGGCAGAGAGGCAGGCAGAGACACAGAGAGAAGCAGGCGCCCCACTGGACAAGGAGCCTGATATGGGACTCCATCCCAGGACCCTAGCATCATGACCTGAGCCGAAGGCAGTGGCCCAACCAACTGATCCACCCATGCATCCCTGAATAACTGATTTTTATGTTATAGGTTTAAAAAATCAAAGTGGATCCATGATTCTTAGATCATTATCTTAGCAACAAAGGCAGACACAACACAGGCATTTGGTGGAACGGCTCTGCTGTAGGAATATCCTGGCTTGGCACATTTTTACTGTCCTGATCTATCCCAGAAGTCCCTGAAGTACCAGAAAGGAGATGCAAGCCAAGAAGGTGGCACAAGGGACACCTGGGTGGCTCAGTCAGTTAAGCGTCTGCCTTCGGCTCAGATAATGATCCCAGGGTTCTGGGATGAATCCCACATTGGGCTCCTTGCTCAGCAGGAAGCTGGCTTCCCCCTCTGCCTGCTGCTCCCCCTGCTTGCGCTCTTGAGCTCACTTCCTCTCTCTCTGACAAATAAATAAATAAAATCTTTACAAACAAAAAAAAAGAAGGTAGCACAAATTTCACGTCACTCACAGATTTCAAATGGACAAATTGAAGCTATCCTCCTACAGGCCCTAATTACTCTCTTGTGCATCAAGTGCCGGAATCACAGAGAAAGATTTGGTGGTAGTGCACATGACCTGCTCTCTTCCTGAGCATCACCCACGGAAACCTGTTCCACTCCATTTGCTAACAGCCCTGCCTCTGCCTTAAAACCCTACGCCTAAGCGCTATGGACTCTGGGAAAAATCAGTACCAACTGGAATACCTTTTCTAGGAATCTACATTTGACTCTTTACACACCAGCCCTTTTATAGGAGGCAAAGGACTGAACATTTATGCAAGAATTTATTTAAATCTTTAGATGATGATTTTGCTGGGATCACTGAAGGCTACAAGAGATCTGTATTTGTAGGACTATTTTAGCACAAGGCAATTTTTTTTTTTTTAAGCACAAGGCAGACTCTTAACCAAAAATGGAAAAAAACATTATTTCCCTCTTCCTAAACAGGAAAGCCAGCTAGCAGAAAATCAGCTTTAGAATTTTAAAGCTAAAGGTTCTTTTAGGGATTGCCTATGATAAAAACCTGTATTGCAGGGTAGAAAAGCTCTGCCCAGGGCTTTAGTAGCTTAGCAAGGGGAGGGCTTGATGATATATCTAGAAAGATGAGTTTTAGAAAGAAAGAGAGGTTCTACCTCCACCCCATCCACCTCCACCCCCACCCCCACTATAAACAGACCTTCCTCCAGCTTCTCCAAAGGCTCCTCGGCCATGCCTACTCCAGGACTCCTGCACTCAAAGAATGGCAACACCACTTCTAAGGCACAGAAGAATTTCAGGCTCTGCTTCTGAAGTGGTACTGCAGCATCTTCATTTTCTCTTTCTTCGAGGTCAGAAAGATCCTGAAGCTGTTAGGATTTTAAATTAAAGGTCCTTCCTAGGATCTCAACATAGACTTCAAGATGTTTCGTTAATATAAATAAAAACTAAACTCTAGCAAACCCAGCTAACAGTTGAGGTCCTATAGCTTCAAAATCAAGTAAGACTTGCAAATGAATTATTAGATACGGACAACTGCTTTTTATTTTTGTTTTTTAATTCTATACCCTACAAATACTGGCGAAAATTGCGGACGCCACTACCCAAGTCACTGAGAATATTATTAATTCTAGGTGGCAGGCCCATGCTCAAGTCCTTCTACTTAGTTCCCCTTATGTCTCCTACCCACACCCAGTTCCCTCCTCTCTGAAGTCTAGGATTTCAATGTTGAAATGAGTCTGATTAGCCAAAGCAAAGCTATAAAGTGTACCTTGATGATCCTTTTTGACCATCCATTGAAACCAAAATAATAATTTGCCAGTTCTTGGCACTGGGAGCTGTTTAGGGCAAGGCACTGATGTTGAACCGCTTTATGTCTCGTGCCAAGACGAACCTAAAGACATAAGAGAGAGACCGAAAAATATCGCAACTTGCCACAGAGGCTTATTTTGGATACACCTGAGATTGACCAATACCTATTTCAGAGACTGGCTGTGAAGATTAAAAAGGGAACAACACTGTAAGCAGTGAGCTCATAGTAAGCCCTAAATGAATGGTATTTACTCTTTTTCAGCTACAGTACTTTTCTGCATCATTTCCAGGGCTCCTGATTGAATTGGAAGATTTTCCTGACCTCTGGTGGTGCGAGTGACGATGAAAGCGACTAAGGAAGCCCTCCAGAAGCAAATTATGTAGGTGAGCAAAGGAAAGACATTTTGTTTTTGTTGTTCCATTCTGGAGTGTATGACCTAAACATCAGACAAGGTAGGCCTGACACAGAGGTAGGACCCTAATCTGCAGCACCCTCCTCCCAGAGTCACTAACCTGTTAGAACAAGGAATATACAGACCTCTATAAACTTTATAAGCAACTAAACAATTAGAGGTTCATTTTCATTAATAAGCTTCTTTGAGAATGCAAATACCTCCAGTGTTAACTCTCTGAGTAACTTAACGCTCTATGGTGAATTTCTTACATCCACTGATTCTGTCTTAAATGTCTATTTCAACTTTAAGCAGGGCGTAGTATAGTTAATATATTCATAAAGATTCAAATGATGCCAATGAAGTCACAGCACTGTTAATTCTTTATTGATTTGTTCATACATTTTCCTCTATCACTGGTTTGTAAGCTCCTTAAGTGCTTAAAGGAACCATATCTTATTCTTTTCTCATTCCTAAAACCAAGCACATTCTGTTGTTGACTGAGTGAACGAATGAAAGAAAGAGTGATAAGAAAATGAAATTACTTTCTCCAGATAAAGCTGCATGCTGGGAAAGAGAAATGAAGACAAACTTTTAAATGTTGAGTGCTGCACGGGCGGCTAATGGTGAGGTACAGTGGAGCTGTTCTGGATAACAAGGAAGCTTCAGAAGGGCCCCAAGCCTCTGAGTCGGAGAGACTGTTGTCACCTTGGATAAGCTTGCCAGTTCTTGATGGCAACCATTTTCCTTCATGCTACTGGAAAAAACTCTCAGATGCCCTTAGGCTTTTCCTTGATTTACTTTATTTAAGACATTATTCTTTTTTCTGTATTTATAAAAGGCAAATGACAACAACAACAGCAAGAAAAAACCACCCAGGAACTATGCGTAGTTGCCAAAGTCAAAAAGAGCCCATAAGTAAATTGGATAACAATTTGGGAAAGCGGGGATGGTAACCCAAGGTTCTGTGTTAAATAACGAAATCTAATACGAATGTTCTCTCTTGTCAACTGTATATTGACTTGTAGAACACTTCCTTCATCACTCTGAGTGATGGGCTTTATGCTGTTAAATCTCAAAACCTAAAATTTATGAAATGATCTTAATGTCCAATGAGAGACAAAAACCCTATTACTCACAACTGATACAAAGTAACTATTTCATAGGGGCACCTGTTGGCTCAGTGGCTCAGTGGGTTAAGCCTCTGCCTTCAGCTCAGGTCATGGTCCCAGGGTCCTGGGATCGAGCCCCGCATCAGGCTCCCTGCTTAGTGGGGAGCCTGCTTTCCCCCTCTCTCTGCCTGCCTCTCTGCCTAGTTGTGATCTCTCTCTGTCAAATAAATAAATAAAATATTAAAAAAATAACTATTTCATAATCTGTAATACCTAAGTGGCTCTGTGAACTTTTCACAGGCTAGAAGCAGGCCAGGCCACAGTTTGCAAACTGAAGAATGTCTGACAGGTCATCTTTTCAATCACAGGGAGTGAAGCCAGGATTGAAGAGGGCGTTAAACAAGTAGGTGGTATACCTAGAGTCACATTTGAGGAGAGTTCTCAGATTCGATCTAGGTTAAGTCAATAAAGAAAGGCATATGGTAAGAATAGATAGCCAAGTCAGTATGGGGTAGCCAGATTAAGAAGCCAGTCAGAGAAGGCTGATGAAGACATACAATTATAAAGGGAAAGGTTTGGAAATCTAAGCCTCACTCACTTATTCAGAGGAAATGACATGGTCCTTGATAAGGAAATGGTGACTGAATTGAGGCACATACTGAAATATAATTCTGGGACTATGGGAAAGTAAAAAGGACAGCATGGTTAGTATGGAATAAAGTTCCTGTAGTGCATTAAATGTTTTAATCATTTTCTGGGAACTGAAGGGAATCCCCAACAGGCAGTTTGAGAGTGATGACAATGAAGCATCCTTTATAATACAACGGATGACAGAGTTTGTCATTTTATTTTTTAACTTTTTTAAAGATTTTATTTATTTGAGAGAGAGAGAGTGAGAGAGGGAGAGAGCAAAGAGGGGGAGGGAGAAGCAGACTCTCCGCTGAGCACGGACAGGGAGGTGGGGCTCCATCCCAAGACCTAGGATCATGACCTGAGCTGAGGGCAGACAGCTTAACCGACTGTACCATCCAGGGGCCCCTAGAGTTTGTCATTTTAAATCCACATAATAGTAGATACAAGCAAGACTCTTCTTGTGAAGATTTCTTAAATTAAGGGGCAGCATAAAATGACCCGGGATTTAACATCGGTGAGTTGGGGTTTGATTTCTAACTTCCGGTTATCACGAACCTTAAGTAAGTCACTTAACTATCCCGAGTTCGAGTTTCTTCGTCGAAAAAAAGAAAACAAAAACTCAGAGAAACCGGGGGATCGCTGTAGCAATGCATCTGAAAGCATTTTGCAAATCGGAGTGTTGCACAAATGCCAGTCTATTATAACGGGATTCAGCACTTTGTCCCAGTGGAGTTAGGAATTCCTTATTTGGACCCACCTTCACTGGAGAATTCTGGAAAAGATGCTTCCCGTGGCATGCCTTTTGAGCTCTGTGAGCATCCCTTGCTGAATAAAACTTGATGATGGCATAGAAACCAGGACGGGCCACTGCAGCATTTGGGAAGACTCGGACTGAATACAGAAGGCCAAACTGGGAGAACACTGTGAACAGACAATGCTGTGGGGTGGTCCCACGGCAAGTAAGTGCATGAAATTTCACGGCCAGAAACCAAAACTGCCCAATCCCTAAACCCTTGTGCACAGGCAACCCCAAGCACTTCTCATTTCATGAACAGGTCTTCCTCTAAAATCCTAAGATTCGAGAAGCATTAGAAGGCAGCATATGCCGGCTGTTGAGAGTTACCTATCAGAAATCTGTTGGGGCTGACAGACTGCTGAGGTCCCCTTTAGAACTAAGATTCCTCTCGGCAGAGACTACAAGGCGCGTGAGGTGCTAAGACCAGACTCCAGGGCTCCCAGTCACCGGGTGGGGGGTAGGAGGTGAGGAGACACACGGCCTTCTCCATCCCTCCCTCCATCCTGGCTCGGCTCACATGCAAGTCCTCGGCCGTGGGTCCAGAACTCAGTTCCCACACCAGCAAGGTTTTGTCGCTTTCGGTGGGAACGGCAAAAAACAACAACTCCGCCATCCTACCACCACCGCGCATGCGCGGTTACGTTCAAGCGGCACTGCGCCTGCGCAAGGCGCGCCCGCGCTTTTTTAAAAAAAAAAAGGACTCGTACGAGGGGCGGGGCCAGCTCGGCGGAGACGGGGTGAGGGCGGTTCCCGGACCTCTCTCTGGCTCCTCCCACTCCGGACGGTCTCTGACTCTCTTTTCCCTCCCGCCTCTCCGGTGGTGGAGTTTAGTGCTTCTACTCAAGTGTATTTTTAGGGGAGAGACCAAAGGGTTAGCTTACAGGATCCTAGGGTGCGAACATCTTTAGAGCAGCCGGCTTCGAAATCCTTAAAAGGTGTTCCTGATTTTCCTACATAATTTTGGTGTAAGTGTGTTTGTTGGGATGAGAGGATGTGGGATGTTTGGCAGGCAGTGTGAGCAGGAGAGATACATTCGGAAAAATCAAAGAGTCAGTCCAAGTAGGGCATCAACACTGGAATTCATAGTACTCTTGCAAAAGGGCTCTTCTAAGCCCCCAGTCAGCTATTTTGAGAGAGAAACTAGGCCCTAAAGATCCGTATTTTAATCCTAGAAGGCCTGAGCTGGAACGGACCTTACAAAACATCTCCTGAGGTTTCTAAACAATGGTCTCCAGACTGGTTCCGGTCTGTGAAGAAGTTTTCACTAGTCCTTGGCAAAACAAGAAAAGGATAATCAGGGTTTAAATTTTTTTTTTTAATAAAACAAAATCTATTCCATTTTATTATCCTACAAATATGAACTTCATTTTTATTTCTTTTTCATTTTTTTATTTTTAAAATATTCTATACATTTATTTGAGAGAGCAAGAGAGAGAGAGGGCACGAGCAGGGGAGATGGGTAGAGGGAGAAGGAGAAGCCTACTCGGAGCCCCCTGAGCCAAAGGCAGACACTTAACCAACTGAACCACCCAGGCGCCCCATGACCTTCATTTTTCATGCTAAAAATTATTTTATGAGGAAATGCTGATAGGCAATAGTTGTTTTGATTAATACTCTTAATTAAGAGTATTAATCAAAACAACTATTGGGCATTAAAATAAAAAGTTGGGAATCTTAACATGGTCTTAACTTTTCTGACGTTTTACTGGTCTGGGAAATCTAAAAGTTAAGACTCAGAAGTAGGGACATCAGTGGCCCAAGTGGGACAGTTTAGTCAAACAGTACTGATGGTAGCTGTGTGCAAGACATTCCTCCAACGGCCCCTTTTCTGTCTTTGCATTGTCCTCCATTGTCCAGGTTTTACTCCACATCAGCACCTTCACATTCCAAACAGAGATGCCTTTAAAAAAAAAATCTAGATTTTAGCCCATTCTCTGAAAGCACCCCCAAATCATTGACTGCTGGCACCATCTCTCGGGCCCCACACCACTTTCTCCACCTCAATCTATAAGACCCTTAGCTCCACCCATTACCTACTTCTGAACTCTCTCTTTTACTTTGAAAATAGTTGGCTTTGGAGGAATACCTGGGATCCTGATACTCTTTAAAACCAAAAATTGTAGATTTTATTGCCCATTTTATTATCCATTGTATTCATTGTATATATCGACTCCCTCATTGTACCCATTATTTGTGTACATCTCTGGGTAGATTATGAACACCTCAGGAACAATAGTTATGGTTTATTTTCCTTCTCCTAGTACCTATCACTCTCCTACTGATTATGTACTCAAAAATATCTGGAATTAAAAATGAATAAATTAACACATTCTTTGCACAAGGAATGCTTTAATAATTCCCAAAATATAACAATTTCTTCATTGTGCTCCTCTGGGTTTGCAAATGACAGTCAGGAACAAGATGCCTGGGCCCGGATGGGTAGAAGGAGGAACCCCGAAAAAACTATTTATTCCTGGAGCTCTGGTCATTTTTATTTGTAAATGGGAATGAAAGAAAATAATGTGAGGTGGAGACAAGAGGAAGAAGTGAAGAATTCCCGAGTGAGAAGAGGAGCTATGGAATGACTCCATAGTAGCCTTGCCCCCTGTCTCATCCCAAGAAACATCCTGTCATCCAGTAGGAGAGTGGACGGCCTGCACAGTGCAACCTCCATGCTACCCTGTGGAGAGAAGAAAGATTGGTTCTTGCTTACTACTTAGTAAGCTCCCTCTCCACATATATGGCCCAACTTTTAACAAGTCTCTCAGGCAGAGCAGTGCTCAGACCCCCCCGCCTTCGTTCCTAGTTTTCTGGTCTGTCCCGCTGTGGCCCCTCTGATTCTTCCTTTAAATTTCCCTTATCCCTGGTGTTTGTCCTCTTCTCCCATTCAGTATGCTTCCACATTTTCAAATCCATATCTCCCTCTGAAGTGGGAGAGCATCATTTTATGGGGCTGAAAGTTACTAAATAAATAAAAAGGTAAATAATTAATCAATCAATCAATCTCAGGCACAACCATTGACTCTCCCTCCAGAAAGGGTCAGCCCTAATAGTCATCAGTGTCCTTTCTGCATGGTATTTCTAGAGTAGGCAAGGCATGTGACTCCCTCCATCCTCACAGAGGCCCGGAGAGCCAGCCATTTTTATCCTGTACAAATCCAGTTTGAAGCTCAGACGAGTGAAGTAACCATCCCAATGTCCACCACTGGTAAGCTGACAGCTTTGAGGGTATCTGCTCAGCTGAGGAGCTACACACCTTTTACAGAAAATGTTGCTGCCTCAGGCACTTGGGTGGCTCAATTGGTTTAGCATCTGCCTTTGGCTCAGGTCATGATGTTGGGGTCCTGGGATCGAGTCCTGAACAGAGTCCCACATAGGACACCTTGCTTGGCCGGGAGTCTGCTTCTCCCTCCCTCCCTCCCCACTGCTTGTGCATTTGCTCTCTCTCTCTCTCTCTCTCTCTCTCAAATAAATAAATAAAATCTTTTTTTAAAAAGAAAATGTTGCTGCCAATTAGGGAGAAGGGCCCCATGGCAACTATGATGGTATGACTTAATTGCTCCCAGGCCTCCAGCTGATTGAACTAAGCAGGGGCATTTGTCCAAGCTGAATCAATCAGATTCTTTATCTTGGGCCCTTGAACTGGGACTGAGCTTATGCTGTCTCTGTGGCTGCTTAGGACGTTAGCCCATCAACTTGGGGCAGCCTTGGTCTGTCTTGTGGAAGGTGAAGCAGAGAATGTGGCTCTACAAAGAAAGAAGGGAAGCAAATGCACCAGGAAGTAGAAACTTGCAGGAAAAGCTCGCTGACAGTTTCCAGCTCTGCTTCCACTCTCTTCCTGAGGTCCTCTCCACAGGCTGCACCTGTGTAAGCTCAGTGACACAACTTGTCCCCTCAGGATACCTCTCTCTCAGCTAATTCAAGCTTCTTTGTTACTGTATCCAAAAGAAGGTTTTTTTTGTTTTGTTTAGAAGATTTATTTATTTTTGAGAGAGAGAAAGAACAAGTGGGGAGAGGTGCAGAAGGAGAGGGAGGGAGAATCCCAAGCAGATTCCCCACTGAGTGGATAGCCTGTCACAGGCTCGATCCCATGACCCTGAGATCAAGACCTGAGCCTAAATCAAGAGTCAGAAGACCTGAGCCTAAATCAAGAGTCAGAAGTTTAACCAACTGAGCCACTCAGGCTCCCCCTCAGTTTTAATATAACATCTGAGAAAGACCCAGATCCCAGGTCTCATAAGTCAGAGTCGCAAGCCCTGCCACTCTTCTACATCTTTCTAGACTATGAAAGGGTCTAGTCCTTGCCTACTATGCCTTTCTCTGTCACCACATCCTTCCTGGGGGCTCTGCCCACTAACTTAGTCCCACAGTGTCCTCCTCACCAGTTCTTCATCCCCCCTGCTCCAGACACAATCTTTTTCACACAGCTGATGGTTGAGAGAAGATTGGGGCTCAGTAGGTCTGAAAGAGAGAGAGAAAGAGAGATTACCCGTGAGAACACAAAGGACAGTCCCAAAGACTGAGGCAGACACGGGCTGTCCTTGTGCTGGCATGGGGCACCCAGGAGCTGAGTATTTCCGGATTAGGCAAGGCATCCCTCCCAGAGGCCCATTCAGACATCCCTACAATAGCAGTCGGGGTGTCAGAGGTGGGGGCAGGAGGGGTAGGATGACTGTTTACCACCATACTTCCCAACCAAGGTAGATGATGGTTCACCCTATGTTTTAGGGTTTCTGGGGAAAGGAAATGTCAAAACAGGCAGCACAGAGACCAAGGTAAATTTGCCTGATGATGGAGGCTCTTCAGGTGGAGAGTCTAGGAATCTTAATCAGACTGCGAAGGAGGGGGAGAAGGTCCAAGTCATGTACCTATGGCCCCTCCTGGAGTGGCTCTGATGAGGGGAGTTTGTACTTGGCCTTTAATCAGACCATTAGCCAAAGTTAGTACTTGATGGTTAGAGCTGAGCCTTCGGGGCCAGTAACCTGGCATTCAGCACTGATTCTATGAGTCTCAGTTGGCTCATCTGTAAGGTGGGCATCAAGATAATTTCCACTGAAACATCATGGAGGTTCCTCAAAAAGTTGAAAATAGAGCTACCCTATGACCCAGTAATCACACTACTGGGTATTTACCCTAAAGATACAAATGTAGTGATCCAAAGGGGCACGTGCACCCGAATGTTTATAGCAGCAATGTCCACAATAGCCAAACTATGGAAAGAACCTAGATGTCCATCAACAGATGAATGGATAAAGAAGATGTGGTATATCTACAATAGAATACTATGCAGCCATCAAAAGAAATGAAATCTTGCTATTTGTGAGAATGTGGATGGAACCAGAGGGTATTACGCTGAGTGAAATAAGTCAATCAGAGAAAGAAAATTATCATATGATCTCCCTGATATGAGGAAGTTGAGAGGCAACATGTGGGGTTTGGGGGGTAGGAAAGGAATAAATGAAACAAGATGGGAGCAGGAGGGAGACAAACCATAACAGACTCTTAATCTCACAAAACAAACTGAGGGTTGCTGGGGGGTGGTGGGTAGGTGGGTAGGGAGAGGGTGGTTGGGTTATGGACATTGGGGAAGGTATGTGCTATGGTGAGTGTTGTGAAGTGCGTAAACCTGGAGATTCACAGACCTGTACTCCTGCGGCTAATAATACATTATATGTTAATAAAAAATAAAAAAAAATTAAAAAAAAAAGATAATTTACACTGCATGAAAATCTGGGTGAAATGGGCTCTGCAGGTAAAGTGCAGAGCATATAACACACCCGCGAGAAATGTTGGCGATGCAGAGCTTCTCTGGATCCTGCACACGGAGGAATCCCTAACGGGGTGAGCACTACAACCACTAGTGAAATCCTCTGCTCAGCAAAGGCGTTCCTGGACTAGACTCTTTGGACCATCCCTCTGGGGACATGGCCAGGCTTTGAGTGGAAGGAGAAGTCCTGTGAGTAGAGCCTGGTCGTCTCTCTCACCTCTCCCACCCTGGGGCCCTGGCCAGACCTTGACAGTCCTCGTGGCAAATGTTTTCCGAATGACTCCGGTAATCGTTGCACCAGTAATGGCTGTTGATCTGGAAGATTCCATAGTCAAAGCTGCCATCTGCATTTTCATTTACCTTTGATATGTTGAAGTTGCTTTCCACAAAAGCCAGACACAGCCCTTTGAACAGGGAGAAGAGGGTTTTTAGAGGGTGCTGAGCTGAGGCAAGAGGGAGATAGAGGAGAGAGGGAGATCAGGAAGCAGAAGAAAGGAGCAAGGCCTAAGAGGCTGGATGGGGCAAGTAGGCTAGAAATACCCATTAGCTTCTCCCCTCACCCTTCGTCCCACCCACCTGCCCCTCAGTATAACCACTCATCACCTATCTGCCCACCCATGCTTCCTGCACTTAATGATCACCTACTGTGTGCCAGGAACTGGGCAAAGCCCAGTGAGGGACATCCCCAGCACCCAACATAGTTCCTGGTACATAACAAGTGCTCAGTTAATAATTATGGAACAAATATGGAATGTTGGGAAGGGCTCCTCAGGGATGGAACTTGGCTTTGAAAGATGAATGACAGAGAGAAAGGTGGCCACCTAGGGTGTGACCGGGAGTGGAGGAGAAATGGGTGGGGGGAGTCGGGGGGGGGCACTCACAGTCATTCAGGGAGTAGCCCTCAAACCCATCCAAGTCCTCCTTGCGCAGCACTCTGGCCAAGTCACAGCGATTGATGAGGTTGGCCTGACTGATGGCAATGAGGCAGCTGACCAAGGACATGAGTAGTGCCCCTGTCATCTTCGGAGGGGAGAAGGTACAGTTGAGGGCCCACTGTTCTGGGGATCTCACCGACGTGCCGTTGGTCTTCTCTGAGCCGCTGAGGAATCTGTAGAGAGCAGCCATATGTCCTCGCTCACACCCGGCTCCCCACCTGGCTGTTTCTCTTTCCTCTCCTTTATTATTGTATACTTGTTTACTATAGAAACCTTTAAATATTTACAATATAAGAGAGAATAGCATCATGAGTCTGCATATACCCATTGCCTGGTGTCAACATTGAAAAACCAAGGCTGATCGCCTTTCATCTATAGACCTTCACCCCTTTTAGCTATTCTCACTCGTAATGGAAAGCCAGCTATGGGCAATATTTTGGTACGGAGTGGGGAGTGAGGGTGGCAAAGGAGATTAATTGTGTGTGTGTGGATTCGAGTACATGTTTGCAGAGGAAGGTCTAGGACAGTGGGCGCTGAACTCCCGCCAGCCCCACACCCCCACATACACGACACATGACTTTGCCCAAGGGCATACCCTGCCTTGTGCAATTCCTAGGAAGCTGTTTATGGGTTCTGCACTTTCATTTCCACTCAAAGGTGCATATCATAAAGCAAATAAAAGTGACCTCACTGTAGAAATAACCTTCACCTTCACACTGTGTGCTGGGGGAGGAGTGAGGAGCAAGGGCTCTGGATTCACATTGCCTACTTTCAAACACAGGGCTGCTATGTGACCTTGAACAATTTACTTGGGCCTCTCTAGGCCTCATTTGTAAAATGAAGATATGCTAATACCTACTCAATAGACTTGTTATGATGATTAAAGGAAATATGATATTGGTTTTGCATTTCCCCCAAACAGGAAGCAGGACTTCCGGGAAAGGAGTTGCTTCCTAGGCTGGAGTAGGAAAGGGTATGAGGTAAGTCCAGATTCTCTAGTGCTAGAAAGTAAGGAAGTGCTCAAAATACGGACCGGAGCATGTCAAATGGACGTGAGAGTCAGCTCCAAGGGGCACCCACTGGCCAAATCTGGAACATTATTTTTGGTAACAGCTTTATTGAGATAAAATTCACGATATATAATTCACTATGTCATACCATCACTTCACTTCAAGTGTACAGTCCAATAGTTCTCTAGTGTGTTTGCAGAGCTGTATAACTATCAACACAGCCAGTTTTAAAACATTTTCATCAACCCAAGAAGAAATCCCATACCTGTTAGCCGTCACTTCCTCGTCCACTTCCCTCCTGCCTCTGGTACCTCAAATCTACTTCCTATCTCTCTAGATTTGCCTCTTCTAGACATTGCACATAAGTAGAGTCATACACTATATGGCCTTTGTGTCTGGCTTCTTTCACTTAACAATGTTTTCAAGATTTATTCACTACGCAGCAGGTATCAAGATCTCATTATGGTTGAATAATATTCCATTGTATGGATAGACCACAATCTATTTCTATACTTATCATTTTATAAACATTTGGGTTGTTTCTAGTTTGGGGCTATTATGAACAGTGGTGCTATGAACATTGACGTACAAGTTTTTGTGTGGGCAAATGTTTTCTTTTTTTTTGTTTAAGATTTTATTTATTTCTTTGGCAGACAGAAGGATCACAAGTAGGCAGAGAGGCAGGCAGAGAGAGAGGGGAAGCAGGATCCCTGCTGAACAGAGAGCCCGATGCAGGGCTCGATCCCAGGACCCTGAGACCATGGCCCGTGCCAAAGATGGAGGCTTAACCCACTGAGCCACCCAGGTGCCCCTGGACAAATGTTTTCATTTCTTTAGGCATATACTTAGGAGCAGAATTGCTGAGTCACATAAGTGACTTAAAGTTTAAACTTTGGAGGGACTGGGGGGCCTGGGTGGGTCAGTCAGTTGAGCATCTGACTCTTGATTTTGGCTCAGGTCATGATCTCAGTGTCGTGGGATGGAGCCCAGGGTTGGGCTCAGGGCTCAGTCAGGAGTCTCCTTGAGATTCTCTCTCTCCCTTCCCCACCCCAATAAATAAATAAATCTTAAACTTTGGAGGAACTGCCAGAAATTTTGGCTGTGCCCTCAGCAGTGTCAGTGTAGGAAGGTTCAAATTTTTCCACATTCTCACCAATGCTTTCTCACCAAAGATAACCTAATTGGTGCCAAGTGGTATCACATCCTGGTTTTGATTTGCATTTCCCTGGTGGCTAATGATCTTTTCATGCAATCATTGGTTATTTGTTGATCTTTGGGAAAATGTCTAGTATTCAGACCCTTTGCCCATTTTTTAGTTATTTGCCTTTTTATTATTGAGTTGTAAAAGTTCTTTGCCAGATATATATTTGCAAATATTTTCTCACATTCTGTGGGCTCCCTTTCACTTTCTTGATGGGGTTCTTTGAAACAAAAGAATTACATTTTGATGAAGACTGATTTATCTATTTTTTCTTCTTCTGTTGCTTGTGCTTTTGGTGTCATATGTCCAGAATAATGCACAATGGTTTCTATGGTAGTCTGGGACAATTTGACCATCAAAATAAATGATGGTGACAGATTATAATCTATCGAATGAGATAGGAACCCAAGAGTCCTTAATAGTAATGAATAGACACATAATGGGGATGGGGGAGAGCTGACAATAAAAGGGTGAATGATCAATGGGGAGGCAGTCATGAAGTTGGAAAATCATCATTCTGCAACCATCAAAGATTGGTCTGAGCAGGAATCATCAACAGATGTGAAATCTGACATGGTGGGAAGCTTGATGAAGAAATGATATACACAAGCTCTTAGAGGGTCTTCCCCCAGGTCTTCTATTAGTTGCATGGGAAAAAACAGCAACTATGCAGCAAAGAAACCAGACCGTTTTTGGAACTTGCAATCAAAATTAATAGCACCAATAAAAGACAGAGAAAGATTATGTGCCTCCAGAAATGATGCCCTAAGAATGACATATAGGTTTTTGGCCGTATTCTGGCCAGGGATGCACAAGTTGTATTGAATCCCAAGGAAACATTGGATAAAGCCAAACTGACAGAAAATCTATAAAATAACTGGCCTCTAGTCTTCAAAACTGTCAATGCAGTGAAAACAAAGAATGGGGCTATTTCTCTAAGTGTGCATGTGCATGTGCATCTGTGTGTGTGTGTGTGTGTGTGTGTGTGTGTGTGTATATATCTTTCCCCTTAAATTAAGTATATGTTCTTAAGGGAAAGGCCTGGGTCCCTCCATCCATGGGCTTCAGAGTCAGGCAACTTCTTTGTGGACAACATGGCGACTCTGACGGTCTTGTCACCTCACAGGTGTCTTCTGAGACCCTTCCATACTAGCCTGAGCTTGTGAACACTCTTTTGCTTCTCTCTCGCATCCTAGAGTTGTCAGATTTGGCAAATAAAATGACAGGATGCCCGATTACATTAGAATTTCAGACAAACCACAAAGAATTGTTTGGTGTAAGTATGTCGCGTGCAACCCTTCTCTACCCTGACTCTGAAGATTCCTTCAGAGACAGGAGTCACAGAGCCTTGGGAAGCAGGGAGCTCTATCTCTGCCCAATGAAGCCCCCTCTTGGGGTTTCTGTGGGAGAATAAAGTACTTCTGGCAGGTGCATTCCCACCTCCCCTTCCAAAGCTTACCTCTCTCCTAGCCTTCTCCAACCCCAGGTCCCAGACAGGCCAGGGCTTTCCTCTGGAGTCAGTAGCACAGAGTCTCTTCCACATGAGCTATACCCTAACCCCGCCCAATTCACAGGTCCCCATGTTCTAAAGAAGGTGAGAGTGCTGGGCCAGCCTGTCTTCTGGAACCCCTGTTCTGTGATGTCATCATTCTCCTGGAAATACTCTGGTCTTAACCATGCAAACTGAGGCCCATTCAAGCTTCCAGCAGAAAGTACACATGGGTCTGGAAAGACCAGTGATAACTGTGATGAAGATCACTGGTGGGGCAGGGCAGAGAATTCTGGTTTTCTGAGTGCCCACCTCCCTTCCCTTCCGTAAACGGTATTGCCTTTGTGGGGAGCTCCTTCCAATGGAGCAGTGGAGACTGCCAATCACAGGGCCCCATCTTCCAGGGACAGCGTGTGCCTAGGGTCCCACCATTATATTTTGAATTGAAACTGAGTGGAGCAGCTCAGCTTCCCACGGGAGGCCTTCAGGTGTGCGGCCAGAAGCTGACAGTGTGGAATCATGTGGATACGGCCCATCTGGGAGGATAAACTTCCCCGAAGAGGGAGCAGGGTCCAGACAGGATTCCAATCCTAGAGTCCACCCTTTCTGAGACCTAAAAACTCTTTTGCCCTGCGATTCGTTAAACGTCCCTTCCTGCAGAAATGAGTTTGGCTTGGGTTTCCATCCCTTGCAGTCAAGAGAGACCTGCCTGGTAGAGAGCATAGGGTTAACCCTCTGGGAAGTGGTGACCAGACAACCTGTCACCTCCCCATGTAAGGGGGCCCATCTTAGTGTCATTAGTTACCAGCGAAGTCTGAGAGATACTCCCACCAACTGTAGCAGAAAGGAGGCAAAGGAAAGTTCTGTGACTCTCTACACCTTGAAACAGGATGGCAGGGGCTGAGGGAAAGAAGGTAGGAAGAGGGGCGCCTGGGTGGCTCAGTGGGTTAAGCCTCTGCCTTCGGCTCAGGTCATGATCTCAGGGTCCTGGGATCGAGCCCCACATTGGGCTCTCTGCTCAGCAGGGAGTCTGCTCCCCCGCCCTCTCTATCTGCCTGCCTCTCTGCCTACTTGTAATCTCCATCTGTCAAATAAATAAATAAAATCTTAAAAAAATAAAAAGGTAGGAAGACCTTCTAGATGGACAGTGCTGTCCTGTACTTCTGCTTCCACACTTCTCTTTGCAGAGGGCCAAGGGACATTGGGGCTTGGGCTAACAGTGTTGGGAGGAGCGGCACCTGGGTGGCTCAGTGGGTTAAACGTCTACCTGGTTAAGCATCTCCCTTTGGCTCAGGCTCAGATCATAGTCCTTGTGTCCTGGGATCCAGCTCAGCATGGGGCTCCCAGCTCAGCGGGGACCCTGCTTCTCTCTCTCCCTCTGACCCACCTTCCCCCCATGCACGTGCTGTCTCTTTCAGATAAAAACAAAAAACAATGTTCAAAGGAGTAATAAACATATACCTAATTCATCAATGATTATGACTAGTTTGTGAAATTTATTTTTCTTCTTTTCCTTTTCAGCAAAATCACTAATTATGCTATGATTACCAAGATTTTAAAATATATTTAAGGACTCAAAACACAATTATATTCAAAGAACAAAATGTAAACATATTTTTATCAGAAATAGAAATTTGCATAAAAATGTTTTACTAGTTTTTTCCAGTGTTTTCCTCCAAAGTTAGGTTTTTTTTTTACATACCGGAAAATTCAAAAAGCAATAGTAAAAATTTAAAAGGCAAAGCACACATGAGAATTAATAAATATCAAATTTCTATATCGAATACACACAAATTCAAATATATGATTTTACTCTTTAAAAGCTGAATTAAATTTTATTAAAGAACTTAATTTTTACAATTTAACTTAAATTGTTTTTAAACTGTACATTTCATTTAAATTTTTATTTAAAAATAAGTAAGTTTTGGGTTCCTGAGTGGCTCAGTGGGTTGGGTGCCAAACTCGTGATTTTGGCTCAGGTCATGATCTCAGGGTCTTGGGACTGAGCTCCGTTTCAGGATCTGCTCAGTGGGGAATCTGCTGGAGGATTTCTCTCCCTCTCCCCTGCCTCTTCCTCTGCTCATGCACACACTTTCTTTCACTGTCTCTCAAATAAATAAATAAATCTTTTTTCAAAGTCACTTTTTATTTATGTATTTATTTGTAATCTCTAACCCTGATGTAGGGCTCAAACTCATGACTCTGAGATCAAGAGTCCAACGCTTTGAGCCCTCCCACAATAACTAACTTTTAAGCGAAACTGTTAAAATTTGTAATTCTAGCATTCGGTGTCCATCTCGTTGCCAATGTGAAGAATTTGTATCGTTATGTTTAAAGTCTAGATAAATATACACATTTGAGTGATGTGATGGGATTTATGTGGTATTGCAAACATTTTCTCGGTTTCCATTTACAATGGATGCAAATACTGTACAAATTCATCTGTACCCCCAGAACCACAAAGAAGCATATAAAACAAAAAGCAATGGCACACTCGGTACTACTAGAAAATGACATTCTTTGTTCAAATCTATTGCATTCAGGCTCAGAGGAAAGATCTGACAAGTTCTTTAATTCGTCTTTTCTCTTACCTAAGTACTTCTCTGCTCGAAGTCTCCCTGCACGCTGAGATATTACCCAGCAGGGGTCCTGTTTAGCTTTCATTAAACCTTTCAATGTAGATGCACTTTCTCCCCCATCGATATAGAGTAAGACAGGAAGCATCTCCCTGGGCCCTGAGCATTGTTAGTCAAGCTCATGGGTATTTAGGGTTAGATCTAGCTGGGGCGGTGCTATTAAATTAAAAGACAACATGGCTTCCTGATGGCCAACCCTGTGAGAAATAAATCTTTCCACTGAGCTGTAGTCTGCCGGTGTCCACCCGCTCCGTCCACTTTCAGCCCCCACGCCTCAGGCCGCTCAACCCTGTACCTTCGGAGTGGTCGACCTCGGGGCTTTGGAGCCAAACCAAAGCTTCTGGCAAAGTGGGTTCCTGTTGTAACTGTCTGAGTAGGTGAAGTGTCGGACTACGCCTTATATGTTCCAGTGTGATCATGCCTGAGCATTTACACGAAACTGACCTATTATTTTATTGCTTTCTTTCAGTTTCTCTTCTATTTAGGACATTATTATTGATGTTTAAAATTACCACCTTGCTGAACGGGTAAACACATTCTGGTACACTCAGATAATGGAATACTGCTCCACAACAAAAAGGAATGAGCTACCGGTACACCCAACAACATGGATAAATTTATAAATAATGACAAAAGAAGCCAGACCAAGAAGAGAGACGTATAGACTGCACGGTTCCATTTACAAGAAACTCCAGAAAAATGTAGCTAATCTAGAATGACAGAGAGCAGATCAGTAGTTGCTTGGGGATGGGGGAGCAGGAAAGGGCAGAGGGAGGAATTACAAGGAAACTTTTAGGAGCGAGGAGATGTTCACTATCTTGATTATGATGGTGGATTCAGGAGTATATACATATGTCAAAAATTATCAAATCATACACCATAAATATGTATCTTATTATATGTCAATACCTGAATCAGGTAAATTACAGTTACACACAACACAGTTTTATGAAAAGGGGGTTGTAGGTCAGCTATGGTTGAGAAGCCCAGCCTCCTTCTGATTCAGAAAACTGCGTCACTGTCTCCAGGCCAACTCATTGTGCAATCTACCCAGTGGCCACTAGAGGCCAGCAGTGGCCCATACACAGAAAGTGTACATTGCTGGGCGCCAACATTTTTATTTTTTTTTTTAAGATTTTATTTATTTATTTGACAGACAGAGATTACAAGTAGGCAGAGAGAGAGAGAGAGAGAGAGAGAGAGAGCCCAATGCAGGGCTTGATCCCAGGACCCTGGGATCATGACCTGAGCCGAAGGCAGAGGCTTAACCCACTGAGCCACCCAGGCGCCCCTGGGCACCAACATTTTTAATTTCCTCCTCTGTGCTCCCTAGACAGGGAGGTGGGCATTAATATCCCCACTTTACACAGAATTAGAGCTGGAATTTGGGCTGTGGTCTCTTTGGGTCCCGATATCACCTTGTTGGTCCCTCAAGCCAAGACAACTCCTTGTGCTACCATTTCTTGTAAAAGGGGGTCCCGTCTCCCTGGGGGGGTTGGGTGGGGGGAGGCAGCTGGCCATGGCTGCAGGCCAGTTATCTGCAGGGCTGATGGGGAGTAGTTGCAGATGGCACCAATGACTTGTGATTCTCAAGGTGCATTTGGAAGACCTCTCGGGCCTGGAGTAGCCTCTGTATTGATTCTCCACCTTTCCTGAAATCCCACCCTTATAAAACAAGACAAGATTCCACTAGCCAACCAAGCTAAAGAACGCACTGGAATAATTTTCATAAGGGAAAGTAGGGAAGGTGCAATTGGGGGAGGGGAAGACATGGTGGGGTACCCAGCGCATGCTACAGTGGAGGCTTCCCAGTAAGATCTGTCGCTAACACATGCTGAGCCCTCCCAGTGTGTGAGGCATGACGCCAAACACTGCCTGCTGGGAGCCATTTTGTCTTCATACTGTTCTCATGAAATCAACTGCCGAGAGGTTAAGCAAGTCACCCAAGGTCACAGAACTAGTGGGAGATAGAGCAAGGATTTGAACCCAGGTTTGACACCAACATGGTGGGTTCCGTTGTCACTCTCTATTGCTCATCTTAACAGCATCGTCTTTCTTTCTCTTTGGTGTGGGGCATTGTTCGGTTCATGTGTCAGGCTGGTTGGTGTTGGTAGCAGGTGGTGGGTATTTCAGTTGAACCTTCTGAAGATAATTTAGCTCCTGATGTTTCAAGAGAATTTTGAGCATCGCTGATGGTCCAGGAAGGAAGTCTTCCCGATTTCTTTGCCAAACATTTACCCGGTGTGAGCCTCTGTGTTAAGACCGATGCTTTCATAGTGATGGTACTTGAAGGTCAGGTGGGCAGAGGCCAGCACCAAGGAATCGAGGGGCGGGTGACCTGTGGCCATGCAGTGGCCTTGTCCATCTGTGCCCACAAGAGTGTGTCAGACGCAGCAGTACCCCACCTTCGCTGGAGTCCCTAGCAGATGACCAGATCAGGATGCAGGTCAAGAGAACTCATCAGAACGCCCAG